CAGGTGCACACGGTCTCACCCTGCAAAGTTGGATATGACGTTTTGTTTACATCTTCATCTGGTGGGACTAACAATTTGATATTGAAGAAAAATCTGGGTCGATTTTGGGTCGATTGGGTCGACATGATTATTTTATTTATTTTGATATAATATAAAAATAGAAACCCCTTCCCATATAGTCTACAATCTAACCCTCTAAAATTCGGGGCATGACAAAATTATTTTTTTTTCTTTCGTATACCATAAATTATAATATTGTTTTTCTTATCCAAACTTCGAAAATTACTACCGAAAAAAAAGGAAGAACAACTAATTTAAAAAAGGAAGAAAGAAAAAAAAGGCGGAGCACGCATACAAACAAAGGTCCATTTATCTTCGTCGGAATAGCTCTATTTATTTAAAATCGCCCAATGCCCTTCCAGCATTACCAGAATCACCACCGCGTTCCTACGTCTCCATATTGAAGACCACGTTTTTCATGGTTTATGCGCATTACTGCCTGGCTTTTCCATCGGCTCATTTCCGCCGGGCGATAGCTTCAACCGCCTATTATTACCTCAGGATTGTGAATCCCAAGTAATCATTTAAGGCTGAGTCGACCTAGGTACCCAAACTATTTTTATTTTAATAAAAATGCCGGCTGTAGGATTCGAACCACAACCTTGAGGTTGGTAGACGAGAGTTGTATCTCTACGCTACCGGGCACCGAAATATACCATCTTTAAAAAATTTGTAGTTATTTAAGACTCATCCTGTATAGTTACTTACCAATAAAAATTATTTTCTTATTTATCTCGATTTTTCCGAGGTCTACCACACGCTGTACAACTACAATATGATCGAAAAAGAAACGGCGTCAGCGATGGCTATGAAATAAAGATCGCTGTCATTTTATATGTAAAATTATATGGGCCATCGATCGTCATTTTCAAACAAACCGTTTTTTTTTCAATTACACTATTTTTCTGGAATTTTCTACATAATTTCAAATTAAGTACAATTAATTGTGTCAATTAAAACATAAAACAAGACCGTCAAAAATGGGGATTTATGATACCGATTCCGTTAATAATACTCCTTATTCAAAGGGTTGTTTTAAAATATTATATTGATTAGATTTTTAATAATAGCTCGGGAATTCCTAGCTAGGGAATAGCCTATATAAGAATGGAATTATTGTCCTCAAAAAGTAAGTTCAAGCCAAATCGACATGTTGACTCACAAACTATAAACATAACGATTTAGTGTATTAGAAGCCTTGAAGAAAACATGGTAACTTTGTTCGACAAAATACTTTTCTAATTTCCCAGTCGGATGAATCAAAGTCGATTTCATGACTACAGATAAAAGAAAGAGAGACGAAACCGTTTTCCAAAGTTTTCTTAAAGGAAAAATTCATAATTATGAAACACATAAAGTTACCAAAGTATATAAATAATTCCACATGAACATTAACTGCTTTAAAGTTCAAGTTCCATCAGAAAACAATCAAATAGAAACTTTTACACAATTTTCATAAGTTTAAAACGATTTTACATTCGATTTAGGTGAAAGAAACAAGTAATAACACTGTATTAAAAAAGATTAATGATAACAAACAGAACAAAATATAAAGCTATAATTACAATAAGCGTAATGGCCTAGAGGCAAATGGTTGAAAACAACGTACAAACAGTGACGGTTCCTCAAAAAGTGCACATGTGCAATGCCTGTTCTTAAAAGTAAAATTAAATTTTATCGTTCTTTCATTACCTCTATTTATAATCCAAAATCAGTTCGTCATTGACTTGAAATTTATACACCAAAACTTAGTCCATGTAATCCCGTAGGGCCATAAACGAGCTGCTGTTTTTAGTTTTTAGTAGAATATCGAGTTATAACTCATGCGTCATACAATGCTTTAAAAGAAGCCAGTATGTGAGACGGCTCCACAGAGGCCAGCTCTCCATCCTCGACATTAGCCGTACCAAAGCTCATGGCACAAACGGTCATCTCGGCGCACCCAGTGATAAGGTGTTCTGGTGTTTCCCCATTTTCCCCACAGAATCTGCATTCGCCCTTGTTTTTTGGCCTCAATCTACTGAGGTGTTCATTGAGGAGGCATTGTCCTATTACCCCGTGACAATATTTTTTTTTGTAGTCCGCTTTGTAGGAAACCGAGGCTTGACAGCATCCTATTTGAACTATCAGCGCTTATTAGGTCTTCTGATTTAAAGAACTACAAAAATGATAATAAGATGCACAATAAATTCACGTAGACGGGGTTTTTAGTTTTTATAGTTTTTATTTCTTTAATTAAATAAGATCGATTAATTTGCAGGCTTAGGTTGACAATTTAGTACCCTAAAAGATCGCGCACACTATACCTACACAGACCGGCACGGACCAGACCAGTAAAATCTACCGGTGAAGGTGACCGTGTTATTTACTAGAGTAGAGCACACTAGACCAGTACCAGCACGTACCGCCACAAGCCACGACCGTCAAAACAGGTCGTGTCGGTCAGGGACAAATATGACCGGCAATATTTATGCTTGGTCGTGCTGGTCCGACCTAATGTGCGCACCGGCGCACGGTGGAAAGACACAATATAAAATGTTGGACATTGACTTAAAAATAAAATTTTAAATTAAATAATTTTGGTAGAAGATTTTAATTACTTAAAGTCCAGACCGTTATATTTTATCCAACTCAAAAAAATATTTTTAATTATATGTCTGTTTGAAAAGTTTCAAATGAAGATATTACACTGACTTAATTATGGTATTCATTTCTTGTGAAACAACCTAGTTTTATAAAAACTGGCAAAGACATTAATAATTTTTTTTAACTATACATATTAGTGCAAACGATTGTTTTCACTTTAAAATAAAAGATATATATAGTCACAAAAGTTTGGGAGAACAATTGTATATAAGAGACACATAAACATTTTTTTGCTGCTAAATACTATATTTAGTAGCAAAAAAATGTGTATGTAGAAAAATAAAAAAATGGCCAAAGTTGGCCAAGACTTTATATATATCACAAGGTAGATTAAGCCTTTCTAATAACGAAACTAATTTAACATCTTGCCCCAGCTTGCCCCCCTCTAAAAATTTCCATTTAATATATTACTAATACATGCTATACTAAAATCAAAAACCTTTTCAATTCCAATAAATTAATTTAAAATTTTTAGAGTCAAATTATCTTTATTTTTTTATAAATTTATTAATATTTAATTATTAATTGGATAAATACAAAATGACGCTAAAATCAAAAACAGATACAGGGTGCTACAAATATATGGAAAACTTATAAACTATTGGAAAAAGAAAAGGGTTAAAGTGCAGCGTTGAGCTTTTTTGTTTGTGTTAAAAATATTCTAGTGCGTAGATTTACTGTTATATTCTTTGCTTATAATAAAGTTAGTGTACAGGGTGTCCCACTAAGAATAGCTCTCGGCTATATCTCGGAAAGTATTAGCCGTGAGGCCTGCGGAAAAAAATATTCATAACTAAAGAGGCTATGAGAAATTGCTGGAAATTATTTTCAAGTTTGTAGAATGGCCGCTAGAGGGTGCAACTGCTATAGAAAAATAAGAAAATGGAGTTTTTACACAATTTTGCCTAGATAAGTGGTACTATAAAGAATAGCTTCATAATCTTCAGTAAATTCTGAATATTATTTGTTAGAACCATTTTCCCCTACCTGCCAAAATAAAGTGGTGGGGGAAGGTTAGATCTGTTTTTATTTAAATATTAATAACTCCGGACTGAATGGACAGAATCCAACTAACGGGGGCTCGTTTAAAAGAGCGTTTCTTACTCTATATTATACCATATAAACAAATAGTAAGCTTTTGAACGTAGACGCTAGGGGGCGCTATCTTACAATTTAACAAACATTGCGCGTTTTTTCAAAAAAATTAAATGCGATGGTATATGTAATTTTAGCTGACAGTAAAGAGTAATGAAAGCTTAAAAAGTCAGTGAAAACCGCATCTTGATATCTTTCAAACCGAAGATATTAGCAAAATTATATTAAATAGGAAAATATAAGCAGTGTACCATATACACATAAATATATGCGTCATATTTTTATAATACGGTATCAGTAGTCCTAGATTTCAGTGGTAAAATCTAAAGATATTTCTTTTTAAAAGAATCAAAACTAAAACATTTCACGACAGTTTGGCAAAGTTTATTAGCATTTAAAAATTCTAAGATTTTTCCAAAACATACTATATTTTTAGGTCACCCTGTAGATGGTTTGTAATGAGTCAACCACTTCTTTCATTAAAATTTAAAATTGTTCTGTTTATACATTATTACGGTATATAAAAATCATTTTTTCGTCCTTTGGATTAAAAGTGTTGAGAAGAAAACCTCATGTCCAACCGCTCCCATAAGCTCGTTCCACTGTGCGGCGAACCAGCACACCTCCACAAACATGCAAATATTGAAGGGTTCGTCAGTATTTCGAGTACGCTAGCTGGCTCAAGTCGCATGATGTAGGTTAGATTTCGTTTATTTTTGTTCGAACCTTTAAATCGTTTTAAATATGAATGAAAAAAAGCTTATTTTACTGGTACAAAAGTATTCAGAGCTGTGCGATACGAGCCAAGCATTTTATATATAGAGACCAAGAAAGAAAAGATGCAATATGGGAGTCGATAGCAAAAAAAAATAATTAAATTTGATTTGTGACATTCGAAAATATTGGAAAAACTTTTCTTCGAATCTTTTTAATTCAGGAAACAAATAATGAAATTCGCCATATTGCTTTCTCTTTTGATTTATAGGGTGAACCCAAAATCTTCTTTTTTTCTTAGCTTCCTTCTCTTCCTCCTCTTCTTCACACAACATGGCTAAAATAATAATTTCTTCCTCTGAACCACTCATTTTCAATACTTCTATGTTGCACGCTCTAGTAGTTGAGCCTGACAACTGTACTTTTTTCGAAACTCTCGCTTATGTTGCTGGTCTGTGGCGGTAAAGTGTGCGACGTAATGCATGATGCAGGTTTGTGCTGTGCTGGTCCGTACTGGTCCGTGTAGGTATAGTGTGCGCGATCTTTAAAAAGTAATTCCTGGACCGTATTTTTTATTACGAATATGCCATCCCCTAAGTATTAAACTCCGCTCCGCCGCTGCATATAAACGCGTTTAATTCAAGGCTGCAGTGTAACACTTCAAGTTTTTAATGGGCTTGAAATTGCTTTTTATTTATTTTATTTTATATTGTTGCTTTTCCAGGTCATGGACGATCGATGGGAGGCTGAAGTTGTGGAGTATGGCGCCATCAATATTACGGGTTTCCGCATTGTGGACTCGTCCAGGAAACACGTCAGAGATTTTCTGGAAGGGTAATGAGTTACTGAATGTTTAATGTTTTTTTTCGAATGTATGAAAGACTTGAATAAATTTTGTTTATCCAACAGCCTCTACTTATACAGGGTGTGATTTGGTTTCGTTTTGAAATGGTGTAAAAAAAATCGGGGGGTAATAGTACTCCTAAACATAGTAAAAAAAGTTCCTATAAGTATAGGGCGGAAAATGCATATTAAAGGTGCAGCGTTTTTTAAACAACTACCACTGCGAACGGCAGCTTTTCATCGGAGAGCAGTCGTGGATAAGGTATTTCACTGGAAAGAAAATTAATCAATAATAATAAACAAAAGATATATAGATATTGGGCGCCAGGCATGTACAGAGAAAGAAAACACAGTTGTATAATACTTAAAACTAATGACTATATTTATTCGTGATGAATTCTGATGGTAAATAGCATTGTACAATTAATATAATTATTATAGTGGTTACTTGTTGAGTAAAACTATATATGTAAATAATATTAAATACGTTCTATGAAAAGACTATAAAGAAAATACAATGCGTGTAACGTTATAGAAAATATAGGAAAAGTAGCATTACTTTATTTAAATTGTTAAATTTATACGGTGTTAAATCAGATGTGTTGCAACCTGTAGATTCTAGAATCTATCTCGTTATTCATCTGTTAGTATAGCGTAATAATAATGTCTATAGAAAGTAATACTATTACAATGCGTGATATTATGAAATCTAAAATCTAAATCACACTTTTACTACTGCATCGACATAAATATCCTTAATAATCTAACCACTAAATATAGTCTGTACGCTATTGTTTAAAATGTACGTTACTGTTTAAGACTGAAAACATTTTAGATGTTAAATGCAAAACTAGAACTTAAATATACACTTAGCTGTTCTTTTATGTAACCCTGCTTCAAACAGTAGCAGCGCGAGGAGGTCTAGCATCTCTGTACTGTCTGTCGGCGATCCAGGCTTAGAAATGGGGGTGAAGCAGCACGGGGCTCAAGCCACATCCACGCTGGGGCACTCTATGTGTAAGACAAATCAATCCTACTGGGGACACTTGTCCATGGGACATCCGTCCATAAGATAGTGGCACAAGAGAACACTACTAGGACCTTGAAAAATAGTCCATACCTTGGACACATGTCCGTAAGACTCTCGAAATACTTCCGAGGGCTCAATAAATAATAAACAATCTGTCCTTTCTTCCAAATGACATTCTGGAGGACAAAAGCAAAGGGACGCCAACGTGCCAGCCAAATACAAATACAAGTTGGGACATCCGTAACTCTACCCTGTTGCTTTGAAATAGCAGCTGATTCAGATTATACAGCAAGATTTAAATAATCACCATTTCTAAAAACTGGGATAAAACAGAGCGTCAAAACAAAGTGAGGTTAAGCACGGAGAGTTGACAGAAGCGATGTTGACAGCGCGCGCCTTCACAGAATAGTAACAGGGTTGTGTCGAACGATCACAGGGTTGGCGACCAGGGAACGTACAAATTACGCGTCAAATAATCTATCCGGCCTGAACGAGAGGGAATCCGGTGATGATAGGCCCCCAGACATCATATATTATAAATAAAAAAGACATGTAACGAACTAAAAACGTTACAAAGGAGTTAGAGGTACTGCAAGGGTGAATTTAAAAAACGGTTGTTTTGAAATTGTAGGCTTAAAAACATTAGCGTAACTAGCAATTTATACTGGGGGTGGCCTGGGGGGCCAGGGGGGGTATGAGCCCAGTGGGGGGCCTAGGGCTTTTGTTTTTTTTATAAATGAAAAATAATTTTAAAAAACACACTTTTTGAATAAAACGTTTACATGAATTTCTCTATCAATAAATTTCAAAGACTTGGTTATCAAACCATATTCCCATAGATTACTTAAATACCTACAAATTTTCTAAAAAAATAAAAATTAACACATTTTTTGAACACAACAAAATTATATTAACTATACAAAACTAGAAAACGTCATTTTTACTGCATCACAAGCAAATAAAAATTAGTACGTAGCCAAGAGTCATAATTCACAATTTCTCTGGGGGTGCCCAGCAGTACCTGGGGGGGGGCGGCACCCCCAGCCTCCCCTGTAGTTACGCCAATGTTTAAAAAACGAGATAAGACTTCAAAAATAAATCCTCTGTCATAAATTTTGACGCTAAATCAAATGGTGATACTGAAAAATTATTGGGAAAAGCGGAAAGGGTAGTTTTTGTAAGGGTAGGGGGTTATTTCATGAGTAACTTTTTTGAGGTTATTTTTTTTGCAACGTGTGTTCATTTTTTGAAAACTACATACTTTTTCCTCAAAATAAAAACACTAAATCACCACAATACACCAAAACACTTTTACTTTTACACTGGACGCGCGTTTCGCTAACCATGTTAGCATCATCAGCAGATGATTATAAACTGTTTATAATCATCTGCTGATGATGCTAACATGGTTAGCGAAACGCGTCCAGTGTAAAAGTGTAAAAGTGTTTTTGTGTATTGTGGTGATTTAGTGTTTTTATTTTGCTGTTTAACACCAAAGGTTCCAAACCCTCAACTGTAATACTTTTCCTACAAAAAAGGTACTCTTGTTGCACATCGCCCAGAGCGATGGTTTTCGAGAAAATTGAAAGCAAAGAGATTGCTCTGATGGGTTGCTAACTGGTTAATCAACCTAAACTTATGAAAATTATGGCGATTCAAAAGTAACCAAGTAGTTATTAAATAATTAATTGGAAAATCAAAATTTCATGATTTTTAAAACATCTTATTGCTTTAAAGACGAAATAAACTTTTTTGTTTATAAAAAAAATTGGTTTGCTCAGTGCCGATTAATACTGAAAAGCAACTACGGCAACGCATTATTGATTGTTCCAGTCAAAGTCGGACAACACCAAGGATATTCCACAGAGCATCTACGCAGATCGTGGAGAAGAAGATCAGATGTCTACATTGAAATGAATGGTGGTCACTTTGAACATTTACCATGAATGAATTAAGGAATGCATTATTTTAATAAGGAATTTTGGTAATAGGATTATTTCGTTTTTTAAAGCAATAAGATGTTTTAAAAATCATGAAATTTTGATTTTTCAATTAATTATTTGATAACTACTTGGTTACTTTTGAACCTTCATAACTTTCATAAGTTTGTGTTGATTTATCAGTTAGCAACCCATCAGAGCAACCTCTTTGTCTTCAATTTTCTAGAAAACAAGAGTATCTTTTTTGTAGGTTTTTGTAGCGTTTTTTAAATTCACCCTTTCAGTGCCCCTAACTCCCTTAATATGCATTTTCCACCCTATACTTATAGGAACTTTTTTACTATTTTTAGGAGTACTATCACCCCCCGATTTTTTTTACACTATTTCAATGACACCCTGTATAGACATCACTCACATGTACGTGAGGAGGGAAGTGTTTCATTCCTGTCGAGAGATTAACTAGATCTCGAGACAATAATGAATACTTTCATCCGAGGTTTGTGTACTATTTTATTTACAACCCCATCATTAATTAATAAATAGGGACAGTATTTTATTTTGAAAAAAAAATAAATATGCGAAAATGTGTTATTTCCTCTTTTGGCATTTCAATATCTATAGTTACCGGTTGGTTGTTATGGCGCAAACTTTCAACACCAAAACAAACAACTAAGTGACAGTTTTGAATTTCAAAACTTTGTTCCAAACCAAAACCATAGATAAATGCAACAAGTTTAGATTGGAAAGCCCGTAAAAATTTCAGGTCGCGAAATTATTTTGGGTCGCGACCGTTATACGCGATCTGGCGCTGCTATAGCGGTCGCTAAGAACAACGGCAAACAAAAACAGAAATAATTTTCTCTTGTCAAAGTCAGAATCTTCAAAAATCATAATAATCTTTCAAAATCTAAACCGCTCTCATTTTTTCTCTCCGAGCTCTCAAACCGCTCGGAATTTCTTTAATTCCGAAAAGTGTTTATAGCGTCCATTTTCAAAGTAATTATTGCTATCTTGTGAGTTTAATTCAAAAGTTTTATTTACTCCAACCGGTGATAATTGTGAAAAAGTGGCATTAAAAACTTAAAAAGCTGTGCTGTGGACTGTGAACTGCAAAAACCATCGTGGATCGTGGCATAACGTCGGTTTCCAATGTTTCATAGGTATTTCATACATGCGTCCTTATATAAAATAAAGTTTCTTGTATGCAACACACTGTATTTTATTTATAAAATTAAACGAAAATAATAATAAATTTGAATAAACAATATTTGGCGATATAATTCCGGAAAAAGCCGAACCGCTCCGAAATTTTCAAAAGTTTTGGGTCGCGACCGTTGCGAGAATAGCGCCAAATAGTGTTTACATTGTCCTTATGGGCACTTTCCAATCTAAACTTGTTTCATTTATCTATGACCAAAACGCACATCTATATTGTATAGTAACATAAACGCACACTGCTAATTTATTAATTCGCAACAATGAAAGTAGAACTGGTAGATACTTTTAAATCGATTACTCTTCAGAGATTGGACATGAAACAGCTCTGCTGTTGGATAAAATTTTGTATGGCACTCACGTGTTATAATCTCTCTGTAATTAACATCATTATAATTTCCTTGATACATAAATAACTATAACAAAACTAAACTCATGAAAATAATCTTTTTTAATTAATTATCTTATTCATTAGTTGGAAGCGTTTGGACCCGAGCCAATCTGCTGGTGCCGGACGTGATTCCATATCCGCTCAAGCAGCTCTGATGTACGACGCAGTATCCGTTCTGGTGGAGGCTTTCAATAAAATCTTAAGAAAAAAGCCGGATAACTTCAAAAACATCAACAGCAGATCGGGAAGGGGGCAGCTCTACAACAATGGCAGCAAAATTCTGGATTGTAACCATTCCTCTGGAAGAGTTAACCCGTGGGAGCACGGTGATAAAATATCCAGATATTTGAGAAAGGTATTTATTAAATTATACAGGGTGTGAGTAATTAAATACGAAAAGGTAACGAGTAAAAATAAACTAGAGTGACATAAAAAATAGTTTGGATGTGACAGTTTTACATTACGACGATTGAACTTGTTTCCATGGCTAACTAAGTGAAATTGTTTTAAAATGATAAGAATTGGATTGAATTAACTCAGTAATTATTTGAAAAAAAAAAACATAGCTTATATCGCTGAAAAGCTTAAAAAATGGCGCTTTTTATGAAGCCATGGCCCATTATGGTTTCCATTTAAAAAACATTATGTCTGTGTCATATGTCAAAAATGACAGGCTTTAGAAATAATCGGAGAAGACAAACTCATTAAGGATGTAATTATCTACAACTTTTATCTGAAAACTTTCTGTCTAAAATAGATTATAATGGAATTAGGGAAAATTTTTAAAATAGCCAAAATTTGTTTTTTTCGAAATATCTACTAAGCCATGGACTTTTTCAAAAATCTGAAAGGCGCATATTTATGACCCCACAAAACTGCCATTCTGTTCCCATTTAACCGACCCTCTATCTCCAGTAGTTTCCGAGATACCCATAGAGAACATCGAAGGAAACTCACCCTGTATAAACACGATATAACGTTGAAAAGCAATTTAGTCTTGATTTTTTAAATAATATACATAGGGTTGAATTTAAAGTAACAAAGATTTAAGTAACTTAGTACCTAGTAGAAAAGCAGTAGAAAAGTATTCCTTTTAATGACTCAGCATTTTTTATCTAGGCCTCAAATGATCGCATTATTTATGTATGAAAAAATAGCAATCGCAATGACCAATTTCTTTCCATTTTTTGCGATATTATCAAAGGGAATTAATAGTTCACGTGTGCGCTGCTGATTAGATCTCACGCAATTTTTTTGCCTCTGCAAAATAAAATAATTTCGAACTGTAGGGGCGTGCATATTTTTATTGATATCATTCATCAAATATCACCACCAGGAAATTGGCTTCAGCTCTGCTTATAAATAAAGTATAACGTGCATTACATGCAAATTTTGAACTCTCCAAGTATTTGGTTCCCCTATTGATTTTACAGCAAATTTGTAAATAGGGGTTTTAAGGGTCTGCGTATGTAGAATACACATGCCAAGAACAATTTTGGACAAGCCGATTTTACCTTACCAAGAAAAATTGCATCTATTATTAAATTTAAATTGATAACAATGCAAAACCAGATAAATGTCAATATACCTGAAGCATAGCATATTATCATAGATAAAAGAAATCAATTTAGATTGGAAAGCCCATCAAAATATATAATTGTTTTTTGGTCGCTACCGTTGTATGCGATCTGGCGCTAAGAACAACCGCTAAGAATAACACAAATAATTTTCTCTTGTCAAAGTCAGAATCTTCAAAAATTATAAAATCTTTAAAAATTTAAACCGCCCGCATTAAAAAAATACCGAAAAGTGTTTAAAGCGTTTATTCTCAAAGTAATTATTGCTATCTTGTGAGTTTAATTCAAATCTGACTTACTCAAACCCGTGATAATTATGAAAAAGTGACATTAAAAATTAAAAAACTGTGTTTTGAACTGTGAACTGCTGAAACCATCGTGGATCTCATACGCGTCCTTATACTAAGGGCTGGCAAAGGTTAGTCTTGGGTCGAGATTTCAGTATGTAAGAAGAGTACAATGCGTTTATAATGTACTGAACAAAGAGAGGGCAGTAAACACGTTGCCAAACGTATGAAATAAACCGAGAAACTGTGCACATCGCTAAGAGACGTGGAAGGGGATATAGCAGAT